CAGTACAACTACAAAGTATCCAAAAAGATACTCAAGTACAGTAACTAATTACATTTACTCCAATACTTTACACCTCTGCCACATACGCACTGCAAACGGAGTAATGTGAACCTGACATTATGTGTGTGTGCTGCGAGTGTGCATGAGCGCACGGTCTCCAGGAGAGCGCGCGAGCGCTGAATTGTTAAACACTGGCAAGAATTAAAAAGTAATGCAATTTATAAACTTTAGTGACGATGTGACACTGCATGCCTCGATTGTGCAAGTGACAATTCCTGTGTCAACTGTGCAGCGTATAGCTCGCTTTTAGACAGACGTGATGTGGTGATTTGAAGCCATTTGCGTATTTCGAGAGAGAAAGAGAGAGCGAGCGTGCGCGGTAATTCACTCATGCTGTTTGTGAAATTATGTCTCACAGAAAGTTTTCAAATTACTTTATAAGTTATTTAATGAAGAAATATTATAATTGTTTCACCAACGCCGGACAGAGACTGAGACGGTGCTGCAGCATGTCGCGCCAAACCTCTCACGGCAGCGTCATCAGCTTGAGATCGGTTTTTGGAGATCGTCCTTTTTAGAGACCGCCGATCAATCATCCCAACGTAATTATCGGCCGATAGTGATCGGTAGCCAATCAATCGGAGCACCCCTAAAATATAATAATAATACTTTTTTTTTAAAATACAACAATAGAAGTAGTAGTACAACTAAATATTAATAATAATAGATAAAAACAACAACAATAATAATAGTAATATTTAATTTTATTATTTGTATTATTAATAATAATAGTTTATTTTACATGTTTTCAAAATATTAAGCATATTAATATTTAATTATAATAATTATTATTAATATTATAAAATAACATTTTATTTGATAATATTAAGAAAATAAATTAAGAAAAGCCCTGAGGGGCTTGTACAAAGTATTTTGCCTCAAATATTAATTTTAAAACACTATAAGAAAAAGGTTAAATATAGAAAGAAATAAGGAAAATACAGATATAAATATATATAACTTGATAACGTGGGAAAAGGAGCAGATTTTAAAGCTGTAAGGACTAAGTTGTTTATCGTGAAAGTTTTCTGAGCTAGTTTAGCTCGCTCGTGTCAGACCGCAGTTCATGTGTCTTATGTGTACTGTAATTTTCCTGCTCGGAAAGACACTGACTAACGTGGATCATCACCTGCTGTGCACGCTTGCATTACCAGGCGTCTGTCTCAGAGCCTCGGTGCATCATGGGTAGCAGAGAAATGAGGAAGAAAAAGAGCTTTTGGCAAACGGCGCGTTAGCATCAGGTGGGTCTGATGGCTGTCTGAGCACAAATGAACAAACATTTAAAAAAAACAACAGAAGTGAAGCATGCTGCAGTTTGTTCTTGAAAGGTGAGAGCGAGCAGGTTTATTTCCAGCTCCTGCTGATATCTCGTCTCTGTAGACGATGCAGGGAGCAAAGATGCTGTTTGTGATGTGTCAGATGTCAAAACTATTAATAAAAAAGCTTTTCCTTTATATACTCCTACTGTTAGTGCTGCTAAAACTTAAGCGCAAGTTTCTGTAAATGCTTCTTAGCGATGAAGTTTGTGCTCAGGCAATTAGCCGTGTTTCTTCAGTATTGCTGTTCTTCACACTTGAGAGTTTGAGATTGGTTCAAATCCTTAATCAGAAGCATTAAACTTCACTGTTTGTGCTACAGATGTTGCTCAGATCATGCCACTTTGTGGTGTATTAATACTTTTTTCTAAGTGATCTGAATTATGATTTTTACCTGGCAAGGGAAGTATGAGAAAGAAGGAGAGAATGAGCGAATGAAAGAAAGAAAGAAGAACAAATCAAAGAGGGAATGAAAGAGATTGAAAGAGAGCAAAAGAACAAACGCGTGAATGAAAGAATGAAAGAAAGAGCAAAGTAATGAATTAATGAAAGAGTGAATGAAAAAAGGAAATAAATAACAAATTAAAGAGTGAAAGAACAAAGGAAAGAGCGAAAGAATAAAAGTGAATGAGAGCAAAAGAAAGAACTAAAAAGAGTAAGTGAAATAAACAAATGAAAGAACAAGTGAAAGAAAGAGTGAATGAAAGAAAGAGCAGAAGAAAGAATGAATGAAAAAAATAATCCTATCCTAAAAATGAATAACTTTACTCCACAAGGATGCATTAAATTGGTCAAAAGTAACAGTGAAGACATTTATAATATTACAAAACATTTCTATTTCAAATAAATGCTGTTTCCACAAAAAGATATTAAGCAACAAAAACTGTTTTTAACATTGTTAGAGCCATTATTAATAATCGAGCACCAATAATAATTGTTTTCTGTAGGATAATGTGACACTGAAGACTGGAGTAATGATGCTGAAAATTCAGCTTTGATCACAGAAATAAATTACATTTTACAATATATATTAACTAGAAATCAGCATTTTTAAATTGTAATAATATTTCACAATATTACAGATTTTACTGTATTTTTAAACAAATAAATGCAGCCATGATGAGCAAAAGAGACTTATTTCAAAAACATTTTTTAGCCCAGCCTTTTACATGGCAGTGTATATTCTTCATAAAATGTAAAAATCGAATGTTTTTATTCATGTTGAGTGTTTGTAGACTCACTGAGCAAACATTATACATAAATCCTGCAGGACTCAAGTAACTAAAGTAAGAAATCATTAAGAATGGAAACAAAGAAGAACAATAGCCGGGAAAAATAGATGACATGTTTAATTCCAAACACACAGTCCTACATATTTATTTAGAATTAAGGTCATGTCGTTTAGCACACCTACTTCTGTAGATATACGCCCCTTCTGTGCACACTACAGAGTCAACTAAAGAAGGAAACCTGTGCTGGCTTGTTATTGGGTTGATAGCATCAGCGTTTCCAGATCTGTTAAGCACCACAAACTCTTTGTGTGTCGCTTCGTGTCGAGGTTCTCGTCTGTGCGTCAGTCAAATAGATTAACAGCCTGTAGTCTGCTTCAAGCTAATAGAGGTTAAATCCAAGCATCACAGTCCATCAAACCCTTCCAGTCCCTAAACTATTATGGCTTAACAGCTCTGTAAATGACTTCCATAAAAAAGCTTCAATATGTCTTTTCATTTCACGTTGATCATTGGTGTTTTTCGACTTTAGTCTCTTGCCAGGTGAAACTTACAGCACCAGATGCTGTCTTGATGCCGTATTGTGTTTTAAAGCTCTGATAGTCGTTCTTTTGTGCTGCACTGGTGTCTAAAGTCCTTCTAGAGGTCAAATAAGTCACTTTATGATGTAGTTTTTTTATGAACAAGTGTCCTAAACACAGAAACTGTCCGTCCAGATCCTCCTCATCACACTTTTAGACTCCAGTGAAGAAAACGAAGAGTTTGAAAAGCATCCAAGCGCTGGTGCCGTAAATCTGGGGCTGCGTTACAGCTTTTGTCCTCAGGAATTCTTCCTCTCCCATTAGATCATTTTCTAAATTGCCTTTAAGTAAGAGTACAGATTAATTAAAACATAGTAAATTAAATTTGATGTCATGTACGAATTTGGTACAGTAATTGAAAAGCCCTCTCCTTCATTTTTTTTTAGCTTTAGATTGAACACAAAGACCTTTGACGGTGAGAGAATGTGAGGACGGAGATGTTTTAGAAGTAGGTTGAGCTGTTAAACATGACTTGTAATTGGAGCAAGTTTGATCAGTGTTGTTTGAATGAATTCTGTAGGGGGTTGTGTACTAATACGTAAAGTAATGGCCAATGAAATATATATATTTGATTAAAAATATAGTTAAAACAGTAATATTGTGAAATATTATTGCAATTTTAAATGTTTTCTATGTGAATATATAGTCAAATGAAATTTATTTCTGTGATCAAAGCTGAATTTTCAGCATCATTACTCCAGTCTTCAGTGTCACATGATCTTCAGATATCATTCTAATATGCTGATTTGAAGCATTTCTGATTATTAGCAATTTTGAAAACTGCCAAAGGTAACTGTGATTTTTTATCTCAGTATTCCGATTTTACATCTCGCTTTTTTTTCTGCTACAGAATAAAAATAAAGAAAATGCAGTTTTGCAATTTTGACTTTATATCTCACAATCCTTATTTTTCTTCTCAGAATGGCGAGTTTATATCTTGCAATTCTGAGTTTAAATGTTGCAATATTTTTTATCACAATTCTCTTGCAAAGTCAGAATTGTGAGAATTGCAAAGTTTTGTCTTGCAGTTTATATTTTCATACCTTTTTCTTGCAATTGATATCTCAAAATTCTGACTTTGTGAGAAAACTTGAGATCAACTCAGAATTTCAAGACGATGTCTAAAATTGCAAGAAAAATTCCCTGTACTTCATTATTGAATTTAAGTTTTTGCTGAACAAAAGTGTCCGTCTGTCTGTCTATGAGTGTTTTTTTCTCTGAAAAAAATATTTATGTACCAGGTATACAGTTCTACTTCATAGAACAGTCTTAAAAATGGTATTACTATTATGGCACAATGTCTGAAAAACCATGTTAATGTGATGGTGCATGTACTAAAAAAACACAGCAGTACTTTCTGATATTGATTTTGCTCGTGCCGACCTCTCTACAGTCGTCCTCGACCATATTTCAGTCGTTCTGCTCACCAAGTCAGCTGAATAAGATGGATATTGGTGAATATTCAGAGTTCCTGTGCATGTGCCATTTTCTCCCTCCGCCCTCTCTCTCTCTCTCTCTCTCTCTCTCATTCCATCTCTCTCTCTTTCCCATGACTGTTGCAGAGGTATTGATTATTTTGGATTCTGATTATCTAAAAGGCCTTCTGCTACTGTAGGCATTGGATTTATTTTGGTTTAATTATTAATGGGGCTGAGCTTACAGTAAGCAGTCGCCTTCTATCAGATCATGACGGATTACACGGTTAATATTCAGCAGCGTATATTTATTAATGTATGTACTAAGCTGTGTATATGAGTGTTGGCAGACCTCTCTAAAGCGTCTCTCTCTCTCTCTCGTTCTCTTTGTCTCTGTAGAGGGAGCTAAATTCAGTGGCGGCACAACTAGCAGGCCGACAGGAAGAGAGCGAGGACTCCCATAAGCACCTGGTGGAACTGAGCCGGGAATTCAAGAAAAATGTCCCAGAGGTGAGTGGGAGAGCGAGAAATATTTAAGTGTGTGTGTGATGTTCATCTAGTCGGTTTCATGCTGATAGACATTTTTAAGGTTTTCTTGACCTTACCTGAGATGGCAACCAAGTTTGGGTGTTTAGCTTTTTCTTTTCTTTTTTTGTCAGACCCTCATATGTGCTTCTGTTTGTTTGCTCCTCCTCTCATTTTCTGTCTGTCTTCTCTTGTCTGAACTCCTTCCCTTCTCATATTTCAGAACTTCTCGAGCCAATCAACTGATCCGTAAAAGCCATGACTAATTATTCTAGAACATCTGGAAAATGGCATCATGACAAAACTGACTGGCTGATTTTGACACTTTTGTATGTTGTGTAAATACTGTACATTTATTTACATATTTATTGTCATTTACATACATTTATTTCTGACTATGTAAAACTATTTACAAAAAATGCATTCAATCTTTCAAGATTATTTACTATAACATCATAAAATGTTATTAATGATATATACGGCTGTTAAAAGTTTAAGGTCAGTAAGTTTTTTTTTTAAAGAAATTAATATTTTATTCAGCAAGGATGCATTAAATTGATCAAAAATGGCAATGAAGACATTTATAGTGTTACAGAAGATTTAGATTTCAAATAAATGCTTTCCTTTGAACTTTCTATTCATCAAATATAACTGGAAAAAAATATATAGCAGTTTCCACAAAATATGAAGCAGCACAACTGTTTTCAACATTGATAATAATCAGAAATGTTTTTTTTTTGAGCATCAAATCAGTAAATTAGAATGATTTCTGAAGGATCATGTGACACTGAAGACTGGAGTACTTCAGCATTACATAATTTTAATATATATTCACATAGAAAACAGCTATTTTAAATTGCAATAATATTTCACATTATTTTTAAACAAGTAAATGCAGTAAATGTTTTTTTAAACATTAAAGCCTTTCAGGAACATAAAAAATCGTACCAACCCCAGACTTTTGCTCATAATTTTTTTTTCTCAGTATGCACAGCTAATGGTTTATGCATATTTTTGAAAAGCCATCAATAAGGATAGATGCTTTTGAAACCAACTACGGCATCTATCACAAGGGCATTTGTCTCTCAGTTTCTCTACTGTTGTCTCCGCCCCTCTTGTTTTCTCCGCCTTTTTAACTTTCTGCCCCGCCCCTCTTGACATTTAGTCTCCTCCCCTGTCTTCTCCACCCCTCCCATTTTTTCCACCCTCACTTCTCCTCTTCCAGTATAAGCCACTTCTATCTAATATTCCCGAGCTTGTATCTAGTTTCTCTAGTGTCATAAACCTCAGAATAGTTCTATCTCTGTCAGACTGTCACTCTGTGTGTTTCACGGAAGACATACAAACCCATGCGTCCCTCCAGTATCAGCACTAATAGTGTAACACAGAGTACCTGCTGTTTATTGATGTTACTCGTCACATCCAGCCCAGAACAGGCAGACATCAGCATTTAATCTTCCAGAGCCTTCAGCGAAAAAACCTCAGAAAATGAGCCGCTCGTTCCCATGGAGGAAAATCCTCCGCCGAACGTATTTAAGTTCAAGTCCCTCTAATCCGGAGCTGCGCCTCCGATTCCTCTTCAGGTAAAGGTGACGACGCGAGGAATGCTTGTCACGCGTCTCTCATTATACGCGCTTTGACATTTTACATTTTTCCTCGTTAGCGGCCTTCCTTTTTCCGAGGCTGCGTGTGAAGCTTCGACACGATCCGGTGTCAGACCTCTCGACTCAGAAGCCCAACGCCTCGTTTGCTCTCCTCTTGACACAAATGTCATCAGTGACAATCAGAATTGACAAGATTAGCAAACGTCTGGAGCGAATGGGGTTCGTGCTAGCTGTATCGTTAAAGATTGTGGCGCAGTAATGGATTGACAGGAGAATCAGACGAGTTATTTGTGTTAATGAAGAAGTTATTATTGTCTTCATCCGAAGGTTCTCGGTTCAATACAACATCTACTAACAACAAATGCGGCGTACTGTTGATTACCACAGACTTTTTTCTCTTTTTTTTGGATTAACAATACTAATACACATACAATGGAAGTCTGTGGGTGAAAACAGTGGTTTAAAACTCATACATTTGTTAAAGTACTTGGATTTTTGTACAGATTTAATGTTATTTGAGCTGAATTCTCATCCCTTTCTGTAGTAGGACTACTGTTTTAGGTGGATGAACTTCTGGTTATGTATTACGCGTGTAATTCAGTGTGATTTTTCTCTTGAAATATTGCATTCAAGTCTGTAGTGACAAAGTCAGTAAGTGTCTCTGTCATACTAGTCTCATTGTTAACATGTATGTTGTTCAAGGTTAAATGTTTTTTAACATTTATCCTGGTGAAATGATTTGACCCATAGACAACTGAAGCTGCACACCAATGTTATTTTAGTATATTGATATACTATTATACAGTAGTTTTTGATAATATTTGGAATTAGATTCTATTTTTATATTTATTGTTGTTTTTAGATGTATTGTATTGTTTTTGCCAGTTTAATTTTTGTATTTTATTTCAGTTAATGTTTATTTTACTTCAAGTAATATTTATTTATTTGTATATATTTTTATGTCTGAAAGATTTTTCATTAATCTTTTAAGCATAAAATGTTCTTCAGTCTTGATTTTTTTTTTTCCTTTTGTGGTGAATCTTAAAAATAAAAATAAAGATAATACCTAGGTCATTCTTCACCCCAAAATCAAGAACAAAAATTATATTTCAATATATTTAGCATAAATAAAATATAACTTATTTTATGATGATTAGGATCTTTTGCATTGCGACTTTTATTATTATGAACTTTTTTCTCCCCAAAATTCATTTGCAAAAACAGATAACTCCGTTTTTAACAATTTTCAAAAATCATGTTTTTTCATTGTGCATTCCAATTAATCTCAATCAAACTGCAGTTGGGTTATTTTAATTAGATTAAACAATAACAAAAAAAAATGCAGCTAACTAACACAATAAAACACAATAACATAATAAAAAAAAACATGATTTTTGAAGAGTTATCTGTTTTTGCAAATAAACTCTTCAAATAATGCACAACAATGCAAAAAAAATCTTATTGGCCCCAAAAATAGGCGTTATTTTCTTCAAGCAAAATAAAAATGTTTTTAAAATTGTTTTATTGCAGTATCACCCAAACATGTTTCTGACGGGGTTTTGTGGGATTCATCAGTGTTGTCTCTGTTTCTCTGTGTTTAGGAGGTGTTGGAGATGGTTTCCCCTGTCCTCAAGAGTTTCCAAGCTCAGGTCAGTCAACAATCCCCGTTTAATGGAGATACCATCATATCCACCTCAGAAACCTAGCTGCTCTCATGTCTGCTCATGCTGGAGAGATTTGGAGAAATATTACATGAAATAACATCCCAATCATTTGATTGCTTTTTTGGCATCCGTCATTGTTTCTGTATGTTTTATGTAGCCGTTTGCTGCCTTTCCCAGGGATCAAAACTCTCTCGGCATCACGTCATCCGTATCCGTGCTCCATCCCCCCGCCCTTTGCTGTATTGACTGGTATCATTTTCCCGTCAGACTTAAGTAGCATCTCTCCTCCATTAAGACGCAGGAGTACTGGAGGCCTCTCTCACTCTCTCTGTCATGCTGTTGTAATGGTGCACTCCCCGTTCCTTCCCTGACATGCTCCTGTCGAGAAAGTCATCTGATCTCCTCTCAAAGCCAATGCTCGAGCCATTAAACAGCAGATCATAAATCATATTTGTGAACCTCGTCTGTGGTCCAGAGAGCTCAGGCATACTGAAATGATAGCGCAGGTTTCCCGTCTCATCAGGAGTGATTCGCTGCTGTCACAGAGTCCAGCTGGCCACATGATGTTGTGTTTCGAGCGAATGCAATGGCATTTTCATGGAAAAGTGTTTTAGGCCTGATATTAAAGGGATAGTTTACCCAAAAATTGAGCTGTAATTTTCTCACCCTCAAGTTGTTCTAAACCTGTATGAGATTCTTTCTTCTGTTGAAAACAAAAGAAGATATTTCAAAGAATGTTGGTAAACTAACAGTTGACGGTAGCCACTAACTTCCATAGCATGGGAAAAAAAAAAATACTATGGAAGTCAATGGCTACCGGCAACTGATTCATTACCCGTGTTGTTTAAAATATCATCCTCTCTGATGAACGGAAGAAAGAAACTCGTATAGGTTTGGAACAACTTGAGAATGAGAAAATGATGACAAGATTTTCATTTTTGGTCGAACTATCCTTTATCATTCAATCACAAGTGGTCAGTCGCGACAGATCGCCGCTCATGTCTGATATTAACATGCATCTCAGATCTGTCTCCAGTGGCCACTTGTGATTGGATATCATTAAGATTTTTTGAGCGTCGAGCTCGTTGTGAGTGCGAGGTCCTGCTGAATGTACTTAACGTGTGCTGTGGTTGTAACAAACCTCACTACTCAAGGGGGCGATAGAGTTAACTTCAAATGTCTGTGCCATTAAACTTGCTATATACTTGTTTTTATGATATATTCACAGTGGATAAAGTCCTTACATTTGTTGTTTTAGATATCTTGTTTTTACTTGGAAATGTGTCTGATTATGAAAGTAAAATAGGCTTTTATATTGATTTAAGCAATAAGACTTGTTGCTGTGCTATTCGGTAAATAGACATAGCATTAGGGCATTGATAAGTACAATCAGGGTTCCTGTGGTTAATGGAAATTGTGAATGGAAAAGTGAATTGTAATAATCCACCCGCCGGCCCAAAAAGCGGAGTCCAGCGGCCTGGTCGAAGGTTTAATGCGTGTTCGGTCTTTTACTTGCGCCTCTGAATTGATCAGGATTTAGTTTCAATTTTAGTCTAGCTCCGTGTTCAATCGGACTCCAGTTTCAAGTGATCATTAAATTTAGGCAATATTTCTAATTAAAAACTTGATCACAGATATCGATTCTATATTAATTTAGATATTTGATTATTCTGGAAATCCCATACTTTCAATTATTCATTCATTAACGACCCAGATAATGCAATTGTGAATCACATTGTAGCCGCGTGGCAACCCTGCTCCTGTACATAGACACTGTAGCTACTGTATATGGGGAATAGCCAAGTGTTCCACGTAGGAAACAAACAAATTTTACATAGTCACACATGTAACAGTTATCCTAATTTAACACAAGACACATGGTCTAGAATGCATGGCATCTACAACCTTTTACCTACACTGTAAAAAAAAATCTGTGACATTAACGGTAAAATACCGGCAGCTGTGGTTGCCAGAATATGGTAGCAACATTTTAGGTTTTACAGGCTTAACTTAAATTCACAATAAAATACCGTATTTCATTAACTGATGTAATGTTAATAAACCAACATATTGAAGTACTAATATCTGTTTTGAACCGTTGTAATGCACTGATAACCACCAAAAACTGGTGGTGATGAGAGAGTCACATGATGAACCAAAGCTCATCACAAACAGCTTTTCTACGAGCTGAGAAGGGCAATACTTATATATAGAAGGTGCACACAGCGTCATTCACACAAACACTAAACCCCATCACGGTGACACACATGATACTGAAATAATGCAATAAACATTCATTTAACAACATTAGGTGTAAGATTAAACCCTAATGTGCACAACTAACAAGAAGAAACATGTTATTTCAACAAAAAAACATCAAATATGAAGTGTCATGCAGGAAATTCTGGGAGTGTCAATTTACGGTTTGGCACTGTAAAATATACAATGACTTTTTCTTTTTCACTTCTAAAAACCGTATTTTTAACAGTATCTTACTGTAAAATTACATTAAATGTAATTACATTTATTCACCGAATATAGTATGGAAATTAATGTTAACCAGTTAACAGGTTTTTACTGTAGCATTTTTACAGTCTTTTACTGTTAAAATTACAATCATTTTTTACAGTGTAAGCATTTCAAAGAACACTTACAGCAAAGCAATCATGTGTTTTAAAGAATAAGCTTAACTAGCCTATGTGCACATGTAGTAGCACAAACAACTATACAGTGTGTTCTATGAGCACAATGTGTTTAATACAATTACACTTCTGAATAAAACACGAAATGCATACCTGACAGCAGAGAGACACACAGCAGCATGTTGAGTTCTAGTGCAAAGCTCCAGAGTCTCACATGTGCGGTGTGGGGTCTTCTGACTACAGAATCCCAAAGTAGTGCTTTGTCACATCCCTTATATACCCAGATAAGAAACAAAGAAATCTTCAAATCAGTTGTAAAAACATAAAAGAGCTTTTGGTTTTTTAGCTTCTCGTGACCCAGGGTCGCACCTGGCTGGAGATAGATAAACACTCTCACAGACCCTGAGGAGGACGCACCCCCTCCTCAGCAGAACAGAACTCTACAAAAGTTTTCAGTCTTTCTCATAATATAAGTGTGACACACAGCAGCATGTTGAGTTCTAGTGCAAAGCTCCAGAGTCTCACATGTGCGGTGTGGGGTCTTCTGACTACAGAATCCCAAAGTAGTGCTTTGTCACATCCCTTATATACCCAGATAAGAAACAAAGAAATCTTCAAATCAGTTGTAAAAACATAAAAGAGCTTTTGGTTTTTTAGCTTCTCGTGACCCAGGGTCGCACCTGGCTGGAGATAGATAAACACTCTCACAGACCCTGAGGAGGACGCACCCCCTCCTCAGCAGAACATAATGTACTCATAATATAAGTGCCTACTGTGCAATTGAGACCATTTTACCAATCGCACTGAGACCTTTAAAATGATATCAAACACGAAGATCATGAATTCTTAAGATATGATAAATGCGGTATGTAAGTCTAAAAACTTGAGTTCTTGACACTTCTATGTCGACTTTTCAGTGACCTGGACCATATGCCTAAGGATGGGTGAAGGGACAGATGAGCAAATGGTCTTTCTTCCAGATCTTCCTGTCAGATTGGAAACTTTATTGTTTTGTTGCGTGGCTTGTGCGTTGCGAGAGTTCCTGAATTTTGGCTTCATGAGGAATTACTTTCATAGGGAAATAATTTAATTCCTTACTGAATATAAAGATTATAGTAAAAACAAGTTAGCTTTTTATTTATTATTAAAAAATAGTTTTGCACAGCTTCAAAATATTTCATAAGCATAATGCGATTATGCAACATGTTTTAAAAGGATTTTTAAAAATCTTATGCTTTAATCACAACTGGGAAACTCATTGGAACTATTTATTTATTTAAATTATTATTTTTTATTTAATCATATTAAATTATTATTTTTTTCTTGCTGTGAACCACTTTTAAATATTTTGTGCAATTTTTATGAATGGAATCTTTAAAAAAAATCCTTCTCCAGTGTTCATGAACAACTGAGAAAGTCGTGGGTTTTCTTTCTTTATATGGTGTTAGGAACCTTTACAAGATGATGAATATACTAACAATATAGCATGAGTGCCTTGAGTCCCTTATTGTTTTTTAAATGGTTAATATATAATAAAAATATTAAGGACACATTTTTAAAACCTTTTAAAAAATGTATTTTTATTATTTTATTTTATTGTTTTTTATTTTATTTTTATTTTTTTGTTTTGTTTTGGTGCTGTGCAGTGATGTAGCTTGTGAACAGACGCAATAATTAACTAACCATATTGTGTTTTCGCACGACTGGAACAGCCTATGCATTGTATATTTTGGAGATCTAGAGCAGCCCTGACTGAGAGGTGCATGATGGATAAACTTCACAGGGACCACTTACTGCTGGAGAAGTTTAACAGTGAGAGTAAACTACGAGAGCTCGCAGCGTTATGTAGGTGGAGTGTGTGTTCTGGGTCCCTCTGAAGCGTGCGCTTGTGTGTGTGTGTGTCTGTGTTTTAGGTCTCTTCGGCCCTCATTCTCCTCCCTTCTCCAGCATTGTGCTTTCTCGAGGTCCCCAGTGGTTCTTGGACCCTTATCGTGCCACTTTTAAAAGAGAAGTCGTCTGCTTTGAAGTGTTTGCGACATGACAGGTTTCTCTTTTCTTTCTCTGTTTCATTTCTGCGCATCCCTCCCTCTCCTCCCCTCCTGCCTCGCCTGCTAATTATCGTTAACCAGGCGGCTGATTAGAAACACACGTCGACCTAGATTCCCGAAGCGTTGGGTCTCGTGAAAGGGTTAATCCCCGAGCTGGTGGCTGTCATTGGTCGTCTCCCTCCTCCTCCTCCTCCTCCCTCTTCATCGTCGTCGTCTTCTCTTCTTCTTTCCTGTTCTTTTCTCTTTCGGAGTGGAAGTGAGCTAATGAGGTCCCGTCAGAGCCGGGGAGAGGTGT